ATACCACCCAAACTACCCGCCATTGCCTCCGCCTCCGCCCTCGGTTGCTAATGTGATTCCGCCACCGGTGCACATGGCCCCACCTCCGCAATCGCACACGGCTTGTCCGCCACCGTCTCTGCCCCCTATTACTAATGCAGTTCCGCCACCATCTCCACCACCGCACATGGCTCCACCTTCCCCTCTGCCACCACACGCTGCTACATCACTACCTCCGCAACCATCTCCTTCTCTTCCCCCAATTGATAATGTGGCTCCTATTCTGCCACCACCGGCTCCAGCATTTCATTCACCGGTGGTTAATAAACCTCCTTCAACTCGGGGTGATGAGCCAAGTGATTGTTCGATGGTTTTGATAAACGTGGATGGGTGTGTATCAAATTTGATCACTTCCTTTTTCAATGATCAAGTTTCATTATCCATTGATTGCTGCAGAGTCATTTCAAGAATTTCAGATGATTGCTTTGACGCAGGGTTCACACACTTCAGGGTGCCCGTTTTCCTAACAAAAGTGAGGGACTATTGCAGTCACCACCCGACATCACTTCCACCATTGCCTCCACCTCCGCCCTCAGTTGATGATAATGCTGTCTCGCCGTCACCTCCACCACAACACGCGGCTCTACCTCTGCCACCGCATGTGTCTCCATTACTACCTCCCCAACTACCTCCGTCCTGGCCCCCAGTTGATAATGTGGCTCCTATACTACCACCATCACGTCTAGCGTTTCACTCACCGGTGGTTAATCCACCTACACCACCACCTCCTTCACATTCGCCATTGCACCCGGCTGCACCACCACTTATGCCACCACACGCGGCTCCATCACTACCACCTCAACTACCTCCATCTCCACCACCAGTTCATGATAACATGGCTCCTATAGTGTCACCACCACCTTCATTGACTCCTCGGGGTGATGAAACAAGCGATTGCTCGACGGTTCTGATCAATGTGGATGGGTGTGTATCAGATTTAATCACTTCCTTTTTCAAGGATCAAGTTTCGTTATCCGCAGATTGCTGCAGAATTATTTCAAGAATTTCAGATGATTGCTTTGAGAGAGCGTTCACGCACTTTAGGGTACCAGTTTTCCAAACAAAAGTGAGGGATTATTGCAGCCACCAAGGCTGAAGCATGAGCAGATCTTAACAACACATATTTCATGTTTCCTGGGCGAGTCCATTCCTAATAGAAAAGAAAAAGCGGATAATTAATGTGTATTTTTTTTTTTAGTAAATTTAGTTTACTTGATAGGATTCTGAAGAAAAATGACCAAAATATTCATGTAGTTTGCTTAATGACAATTAAGAGTGGTTGAGTTAAATACTTTCTTTACCTTTTACTTAAATTTCTTTATGTAGTTGATTCATGTCGATATTACATTTCAGCAATAGTGACTGCAAGGCAAAAGTAGATTTTGCTAGCCTTTAATTAGCAAAACGAAGAAGAAGGAGAGAAATAGATTTATCATCACTATTTGGATCATACACCGTTTTACAGATGTTTTGGATGCTAGGTAGAGAGGGTTCAAATTGTATGTGCCTTCAAATAGACTAATTGCTTTTTCAAAATTAACCACAACTTGCCCTTCTAAATTTATTACTTTGGTATCCTCTTCTTTTCTCATTTTTCTAATTCTATTAATTTTCTTTACTTGAATTCAATAAAATTATTCTATAGTTTAATCTGCTTCAAAAAATTTCCTCACCACGAAGTGAATTCAGATTCTTCCTTTCTTAAAATTCGATGAAGCATGCAAAGATATTTGTTTAAATTATTTAGTCTATCTTGAAATGTTTTTTTTGTTTTATACTGTACTGAACTTTCTGATTTGGTGTATAGCTCTTTTTTCTAATTATTGGAATTAATTTAGTATTTATGAAACAAAAAAATTATGCCCTTTCCTCTGCAAATAACAACTTCTCAGTAATAACAAGAAACATTCTAGAGTTAAATAAATTTTGTTAAATTGGATTTCTTGTATTAAAATTTGTTAAATTAAATAGAAAATTGGTATAAGTAGTATTAAATAATTTTCTTGTATCGTTTTAAAAAATATTTTCAACTTTGTTAAAACTTTAGAATGCCGACTTAAAATGACTTCATTTTGCTATTATGCTAAGAGCAAAAAGGAAGAAAAAAAAAGTGATCAAACCTGGCTTGTCCTATTTGACACCCGTATACAAACAAATATCATCATCTTTGACTGAATCTGCTTATGCAAAATTTTGGGTTCGTCACTATTGCTAGGTTCATTAATAGAGGAGAACGTAATCAATTATATAACGAGCTGAGAAGCTAGTAAAAAAATAAGAACAGGAAATAATGATAACAAAAAAGTTCAAATAATGACCTTGTTACATATAATGCAATATAATCTTTAAGGCTATTTTTTTATATAAGATATGCTTATATTGGAGAATTTATAGGACGGTGGGATAGGAAGAGACTAGAGGTAGGATAATGGTAAAAATTTACCTGTACTGAGTATTTATACCAAACTGTATTAAGTTATTATAATTTAGTGATTTGAAAAGGTGAAACTGTATGTTTATTTACCCTTGAATAACAATTAAACTTATAAGTATTTTTAAGGATATGTGATTTCACTTGGTACAAATTGAGAAATATGAGAATTAATATTAGAAATTAATTGTAAAATAAAGCAAACCAATATAATGAGCGGTTATGGCCTTCGAGCTAGATCGCCCTCGAACCAACAGAGTATGCTATAAAAAGTATGAATTGAACAACAAAGCTTGAGAGAAAATGTAATGTAGTACTTTGTTATGCGTGAATATGATGATCACAAATTGATTAGAACCCTCTTTATATAGTAGAGTAATACTACTTATGGTACAATTTTAAATACAAAAGGAAATCCCATGATTGACTAAATGTCCGGTCTTGACTTGATACGTGCCGAGATTTTTACCACGATTGCCCGGTCACGAATATCTCGACTTTCTGTTATTCGGTTTAGCAGGCGTTCTTCGATCACGCTCGGTCCCTATCTCGTTGTGGTTTCGATCACGGCTCGTCTCGATCTTGATCGATCATCGGCTCACGAGCTTAGCGATCCATCTCTGTGCCATGTTCCGATGCAATGCGAGGCCGAACCTTGGTCTACCACCCCGGTTTCAGTTAGCCATACAAAATTGGAGCAGTCCAATTTTGACCGTATACAATGTTAATTAACCATGGCTTATGGAATTCAACCCTAACGGATTGAGACGAGTTAAATAACACATTTTGACCACAAATTTCTACATTAGCCTAATTATAATGCTATTAATGCATAAAAACTATAGGATACTTTTTAATGCCTTTTAATTTGGCATATTTCGGATTTTTTTTAGTTATTTTGCGTTGCACGGAGATTTCTTCATTCTTGTTTATCTCCTTTATATAGAAGATCATAATGGATTTGGCCACAATAAAAGATTTAGAATAATGAAAGTAATATTTAATTATAAGGACTTGACATCATGCTTATTTTTTTTTTCAAGAGAGATACATTGCACCAAATCTACATTGACTTCATGTTTAATTATTTATTTGCCAAAGCAGGCAAGGGCTATCAATAGTCACCAATGAGAAAAGGAAAATACGTATTTTAAATTATTTCAGGAAAATAGCGTGTGTACCATTAAGCATCATCCCATTCTCAACAAAATGTATTATTATTATTATTATTATTATTATTATTATTTTAGGACAATTTATCGGTCCTCTTTATTTATTCGTAGTAGTCACCTATCTTTGCCACTTTTCTCAGATAAACAACCAAATATAACTTTTCCTAAATGATCTATAATGCAGTTAGTTGGTTTGTAAGGTCAAAATTAACATGTATAAATGTTCTACATATATTAGGGAAGAATGCAAGCTCACCAAATCTCGAAATATGAACATTTGCCAAGCTTCGAAAGGAATAATCAAAACTTATGTTTCGTGTAAAAAGAACAAATAAAATGCTAATCAACTTTATTATAAATATACAAAAGACTTTATTTCACCATCTATCTAAGAACAAATTGATATCCAAATATATTATAAAGAAAAAAGATGTTCAACAATAGATTAACGATCATTCCTTTTTTGGTTAAACTGAAAGAATTTATTTAACTGAGTATAATGATATGTACAAGTTGACTCTTTTGGACTCAAACATCTCGCACGCAAAAAAAGTCTCTCTACAAAAATGATACTTGTGTACTATAGTTAGTAGCTATATACGGATAAGAGGGCATGGAATATCAATTTTTTATCCTTTATATAAATGCTATGAAGCCATTAATGCTATTTTAGTAATGTTATTAGTATAAAAAAAAATTATTCTAGAAATATAACATCATTTTTAGTAATTTTAACACTTGAATTATCACAAAATGTGTTACTTTCTTCTAAGTTAGTACTCCTATATTCTATTTTATATGACACTGGTGTAATTTGGAGAGTCAAATAATTTTCTTTAACTAGAATATTTTAAGATACTTTTAATTATGAAAAAAATGTATCTATACTTTTAATAGATTAAACACACAACAAAAACCTTCAATCTAATAGTATGATAGAAGCATCTCACATGGTAAATACCTAGCCGCACCAAATATTTAACCATAATAATTATAAATTAAAAAAAGAATATCACTTAATTATAATTAGGTTATAAATTTTAGATAAATATCGCGAGTAAATTTTTACTAATGAGACACAATAAGTATGAGTTCAATTCGTACCATCGCCTACGGATTCTCTCGGTCTTATACTCCCTCCGGTCCACAATAAGTGATCAATTTGCTTTGGGCACACCCATTAAGAAAATACTAAATTATAGACAAAAATAATTAGTGTGACTAAACTAATAATAGAAAAATAAAAAGAATATAAAAATATCACATAGTTATTGTATTTTTTCTTGATTATATAAATAGATAGTTATTTTGGACAAAAATAAAAAAGTAAATTGGTGTCTCAACCTAATAATAGAAAAATAAATAATAATAGAAAAATGAGAAGCAAGAGGTTTGGGTGAAAGGTGGGAGAGAGCAAGAGAATTGAAAGGAAGGACAAATTGAAATTCAGCTCCTGGTCTATAAAATCGTACTAATATGTTTACTTACTGTAGACCTCATTTGTAGAGGAAGGGGCGATGGGTGCAACGGGTTCCAAGCTGGAGAAGGCCCTCGGCGACCAATTTCCCGAAGGCGAACGCTACTTTGGCCTCGAAAACTTTGGCAATACTTGTTACTGCAACAGCGTCTTGCAGGTCGCCTTTACTTCTTTTACTCTAAAGTTCCCATTTTTTCCCCTTCTTTTGACTTTATAAAATCTGGGTTTAGCTTCGATGAATTGTTATGTGTTTTTACGGTTTCTTATGATGAATTTTGTATTCACTATCTGTTTACGAATTATAGGTTTAGTCAGGATTATCTGGATGCATACATAGTTTTGCAATTTGATTAGTGTTTCGATGATGGATTTCGTTATCAGATTAAGTCAGTATTATGTGTAATTTAGGTTCAATAAACACTTCTATTTTAGGAGTAATTGCTGCCTTTTCCGATGTGATTAAATTTGTTGTGTTCTGAAACAGGCGCTGTACTTTTGTGTACCATTCCGTGAGCAACTGCTAGACTATTATGCAAATAATAAAAGCCCTGCAGAACCGGAGGAGAATCTCTTAACTTGTTTGGCTGAATTGTTCTCACAGGTACCAGATACAATCTAAGTGTGTGATCTTTCTGTATAATAAGTGGTAATTTGATGTTTGATACTAATATTCTGCTCCATTTGGTATGAATTTATGATTCTTTACTTGATCAAAAGAATCCGTGTGAAAAGTCTGATGTCCTCCATGTGTCAAGTTTATTGTGGGATTTGGCAAGTCTAGCTTTAAATGCCAGCTATCTCTGTGTCGTTCAACCGAAAAGTGGAAAAGGATTACATATAGTAGAAGATATTTGACTGTTGTGGACTTAATTCAATCAAGTGCTAGTTCAGTATGTTAAGCAACCTTATTCCTATTATCTTAATTTTGGTTAGAGGAAATTGAAGGAATGAGCATTTTGTAGCATGAGATTTTCTAGTTTTCCCAATTGAGAAGGCCAAAAGATTTGATAACCTGAGGTAGCATGACCGATCTGCGTCTTTAACTGAAGAGTCATTCTAAAGTGCTTGGGAAGTAAGAAAATCAAGATAACATGATAGTATAAGAGAAACAAATAAGAACTTTAAGCTTTCTCTTCTAAACTCCCCTTCCTTGAACTTTAACTTGGTTATGTTTCGTTGTGTAGTAGTGGTTTTCAAATTTTAGCCTGAATATGAGGATTTGGTATTACCAGTTTTGCGATAACCAGGAATTTTTGTCTACCACCAGGTCAGTCTCAACAACATGAAGTCTACAAGTTAAATTTTTTGTTGAAAGTTGATAATTTAAGAATTACCATCAGGAAATAAAATTTCTATCCGTGAGAAAAGTTTTTCTTTGTCGATGATTGTTGACAGATTGGAGGCACGTAAACTTGTTGTTGTCATGCAGATAAGTTCACAGAAGAAGAAAACCGGTGTTATTGCTCCACGACGCTTTGTGCAAAGAGTCAGGAAGCAAAATGAACTTTTCCGAGGTTACATGCATCAGGTACGTGTTTCCTTGTACATTTTTGTATGTTTGCTACATCTATGTAAGAATCATTTTTTGGTTAGATCACAAAGGAACAAGTCACATGAACTTCTTGATGGCCTCAAAAGAATCTTGAAGGCGCAATCACTGTATTTTAAGAATTGAAATATTAGTTCATAGTGGTGACATATAGAAAGAGACCTGTTTGAAAGAGAATAAGAACATGAAAGAAAGATCATCTGAAGCAAGTGAGGGAATACCTTTTATATTGGAATATATTGGAATCTGTTACCTTTTCAAAAAAAAAAAAAAACAAGTGAGGGAATACCTTAAAAATGTCAAACAAAGAGATGTGCCATGTTTACGTTTACTTTAGATGTATAATTTTTAACTAATCTAGATCAGTTTGAAACAAGAGACAGGTCGGATGTCCATCCTAAGTCATCTTATGTGCTTTAGCATCGAAAGAATGCACTCTTCGTGTTACATTGATGTTATCTATCTTGTATTTTGAAGCATCTTCAAGGTGTAGTGATCCATTGCCCTTATACATTGTATTTTATTCTGGGAGACATACCTAGTCCTTTTAACTATTTTCACGACAAGGCAGAGGAAGTTTTTACCTTCTGACTCATCCAACTCACCCATGTTGTGCTTTACATGCTAAAACCACACTACTTTATTGTTAAAACGATTACCATCTTTCTGTGATCATTTACGTAGAGGTGGAAAACGAGTTTCGCTGGGGTTTATGGGGTGGTTGGTTGCGTGAGGAGAAGAAGAAAAAGGAGGATGAAAAAGAAGAGTTACTGTTGAGATGCTCATCTGCCTAATGGCACAGGGAAATGGCTATGTGAAGGAGAAAGAAATAGTTAGGAAGGAACGATAGTTGTAAGTCCTATTTTGACCTTAAAAATAAGAGATGTCAGTTAAACTTACAGAAGGTTAAGTGACTATTCTTTTTAAAGCTAAAGGGTTTAACTGCCATGGAAAATGGTTTAAGAAGCAAAGTGGCAAATTATCGTATACGATCTACACTCCATGTGCTATCCAGAATTATTAGAACACTGCTTATAATGCAAAATAAATTCCTAGTTCATCTTGGTTTTGATACAGTTGATTCATGCTTTTGCTTAGGATGCCCATGAGTTTTTGAACTTCTTGTTAAATGAACTTGTTGATATCTTGGAGAAAGAGTCACATGCATCAAAAAGTTTAACGGCAAGTTCTCCTGAAAAAGTCGCAAATGGATCATGTAATGGTAAGAGCAATGGTGTTAAGAAGGAGCCACTCGTTACCTGGGTGCACAAAAACTTTCAGGTAAACTATCTGTGTCTTCACTCATTTAGAATTTCATCATTCTTGTCTATACATAATTTAACCACAGCAGTCAGTTTAGCATCCATGTTGCAGCTTCACAGGAGGTAAAAGTAGAAGACAGGGAAGAAAATTTCAAGTTATCTCTTAAATTTCTGCCAATGAACTTCTTTATATTGTCATTTGAGAGGATAAGAGGAAGGTTCTATATTGGGTCTTTCGACTTCGTTTCTCAGAGTAGTTAGAGGAGGACAAGGAGGAAAATCTGAAGTTGTCTCTTAAAATTCTGTCAATGAAGGTTATCAGAAAGATCTGTCTATGAAATTCTTTTATTCTGTCATTGGAAAGAATAAGAGGCAAGGTCTATGTTGGTCTTCTGAATTTATATCTGATGCTCATGGATCAGTGAACAGAATCATATATGTATAAATTAGAAGTGCTTACTTTACTCCACTTGTGATGCAAATTTTGGATCCTAGAGCTTAGCAAATGGTTTACTACTTTCTAGATCTAGAGGCTGCTTAACCGGGTTATTATTTCATATGAATGCAGGGTATATTAACCAATGAAACAAGATGTTTGAGGTGTGAGACAGTCACAGCAAGGGATGAGACATTTTTTGATTTGAGCCTTGATATTGAACAGAACAGTTCAATTACAAGCTGCCTAAAAAATTTCAGTTCGACAGAGACCCTCAATGCGGAGGACAAATTTTTCTGCGACAAGTGCTGTAGGTAGGTGCCTTCACCCTTTCCTTTTTAAGCAATTAAAATGACAGGGAAAGTTACGTTCTTTTTATGAATTCAGCTTGCAAGAAGCACAAAAACGGATGAAGATAAAGAAACCGCCACACATCCTGGTCATTCATTTGAAGCGTTTCAAGTATATGGAACAACTAGGTCGTTACAAAAAATTGTCTTACCGTGTAGTGTTTCCTCTGGAGCTGAAACTCAGCAACACCATTGAAAACACAGACTCTGAGTATTCTCTATTTGCTGTTGTAGTTCATGTTGGGAGTGGGCCAAACCATGGGCATTATGTTAGTCTTGTGAAAAGCCACAACCACTGGTTGTTCTTTGATGATGAGAATGCTGAGATCATTGATGAGTCTGCTGTTCAGACCTTTTTTGGCTCAGCTCAAGAGTACTCGAGCAATACAGATCATGGCTATATTCTCTTCTATGAGAGCCTTGCTGCTAGCAAGAGCTGATAAAGAGTTCTCACATGTCGAGACCTAACTATTTTGCCTCTCTCTGCTTAACTTCTGTCATGTTCAGCTTTCCCATGGTTTACTGGACTTGCTTAACACATGTTTATGGTTCCGTGTACAACATACGAGGGTTTTCTAGCATTTGACTTGCTTTAACAATAAAGAGATGTAAATCCTGGTACAGAAACTTCAAACGAGATGTTGATATTGTATTATTAGATATCAAACTGCAAGGAGTACCAATGCATTTCGTTGGCAGAACTCCACAAGCAGGAATAAGTGTCTCCTTTGTGTAATTTCAATTTGAAAGTATAGACTGCTGCTGTGTAGCTTTGTTTTCAAGTGGTTGAGACGAACACTGATGGACCTTGGCTCTAGTGCTATATTCTTTTACTTACAACTATGTGGGTATAAATTTTTTCTGAGATAAGTTGAGCCTAATACCTGATTCCCTTCTCTTATACTATGTGAGTATGAAGTAAATCGAATTTAGCGCTATAAAGTTAATTAAAAACCACATAACTCTCTTATCTCATCATCCGTCTCGACTATACTGAATTTTGAGTTGGGTAGTTTGCGCTTAGCAGTCCTTTCTAGGTATTCTTGATTATGAACTGAAGACCTTGTATATTCAATCAGTTACATTATTATCCTTGAGAAATCTGTGTAGCAGTCTGTACCTGGATGCTCGCAGACCAGTTCTTTAAATGAATATAAATGATGACCCTTTATATAAGATCAAGGCGGAACGGCGATATAATATAAAAAGGAAAAGTGGAAATATAGACCTCTTTAGTGGTTAAAGAACGAAACAGGGGAAATAAGAATAGCAGCAGATATTCCCATCAGCAGGATTAGAAAAGATTAGAGCTAGAGTTTCAATTTATGAAAGACATGTACAACGATTAGACTCGTAGATTGCTTGTCTTTTTACAAGCAGTCATCTCCCAACAGTTCACCCAGATTTCTGCTTATTAACTGGTTCTGAGAACAAAGAGTTTTCCCAGGCGTGAGCAGCGATGCTATCAACAAGTTAATACCTGCCAATCCATTTACTAAGATAGTATAAATTCTTAGAAATGGAAAACAAGTTTCCAGAAGCGAAAATTGAAAAGGAAAACTTATTTTGGTAAAAGTTAATGGCTGCACATATTAGCATTTCTTTTATGTTAACAAAAATCATAAGAATCTACATTATATCGAAGTTTCCCTCAAGTAAGCTAAAAGTGCAGAATTAGCTAGCTACTATTTTCTATGTATATACAATGAATCAACTATTAATTGGGCTAATCAAGGCAAAAGAAGCTTATTCAAATGCTATAGACATGAAAGTATCATCATCCAACAAATTTTCAACATCAAACAACTCCTCTTCAGGATAGCTGGTATCTTCTGGGCTCTCCAGAATACAAGTTGGACCATCCGGCTGAAGGTGAAGAAGAAACGAATTACACAAAAAGCCAATCAAAACCATGAGTTCAGTTAGGCAGCTGAAACTTTGATTCACCAAAACATGGTCAAGGGTAATGCTCAAGTTCAAGGTAGAGCCAATATCTACAACCCGATAGAATTGGCTGTAATTTTCTAAAACTCTGCAGTGGTAACAAGAAAAAAACTGACAAATACACATTCAGATGCGGAATTGAGGAGTCACAGATATGTTCAGCTTAGGATATCAACAATTTGAAATACTCAACCCATCAGACTAAGTTCAGAAAGTCAAGGTACACTAATCCAACTATGCAACCAACCACAAGATCTCTCTGCAACACAGAGACCTGTCCTAAACATTTTTTTCTGCTTTTATATTACGTAAGTATATCATAAGAGGGTAACTTCAACTAACACAGTTCATAAGACGCATTTGGCCATGAAAAATAAACCAAGCTTATCAACCTAAGAAAAGATTTAGACTTTCCACAACGAGATGTAGTATCCTATTTTTCTTTTTTTCATCTACTTTTCCCCGGAAAAAAAGACCTTTTCCAAGTTGTTTCCCTACAAAGGTCAGTCAAATTTTGATCTAGGAACTCGCCTTAACCCATAGTTTATGTTTTGCAACTTAAGAGCAACAACCATAGATCAAATCATTAAGTAGATGTGCATGCCAGATAGTGGGAAAAGGAGCAGTTGTTATTTTCTGCTCAGTCAAAAACCCCAGTCCAAAAAAAAAAAAGAAGCTACAGTTCTCTCCCTTTTCTCTAAACATCCTAGTATTGCATAAAAAGCCATTCAACAACTCTATGATAATAGCAATCATATTGAAGCATACTTGGTGACATCAATGTTATACCTTTACTTCACGAAGTCCTTCAGCAGCAGTAAGCAGCCTACGATATTGAGCACGGCCCTCAGGATACTGAGTCATGGACTTCACCCTAGCGAGGGCTTTTTGCATCCTTACTTCAGTATGCTTTCTTCCTTCCTTCAGAAAATCATAATCATCCTCTGGTAATGAGTCATCTTGTATGATTGGCTTATTCATGACCACTTCTGATCTAAATCCCCTCAAACCACTTCTTTTACGTCTCCAGCGCAATATCACCTTCTCCAAAATTCCTACTGACCAGATAATTGGTTTATATTTCTTCCTCACCTGATGCCCCCTTACATGAGCCTTCACCATGAACAGTGAAAATGTCAGCGTGAAGAAAGAAAAGGATTAATAGATGTTGAGCACTTGAGCTATAGTTCAAATGTAATATTGTAATGTATCAGCTTAAAGACAAGGACCCATATATGAAAATCTGATTATCATTTATCACAGCTTCCATGTAACACAATCTGACTCATGAATAAAATTTTGCATGTGGAGGTCGGTTAAGCAACATAAAGGCAAGATAACCTCGGCATCAACAGAAACAAAAACATATGTAACTTCCCGTGTATAAAAATATTGTGATTTGAAGGAAGCAATGCACCTGAATTTTAACGATTTTTTGCCGGATTAAAAGAAATTCTTTTCTCTTATTCCAGCCACGGAACTTTTTCTGGATTTGAGTGGCAGCTGCATGAGCTATACCATTGTTTTGTCCCAGCTTACAAGCTCTAGAAGCAACAATGGAAAGAGCATTCTCATCAGATGATAACTCATTGTCGCTACACTCAATAATTTGCTTCCTCTGAAATGACTGAACCCTGAAAATTTGATGTATCCTAGCAGCTGCTTGAGTAGCATTGCGTATAGCAGCCAGAGAATCCTTAAGTGAAAGTACATCTGGCATATCATCTCCAGTAGTTGTAACAGCCACGCGCTCTGTAACTGTTTCTCCAACTTTTGCTCCAGAAACTTCTGAAGCAAGCTCTTCCTTTGCATCAGTCACAGTAAGCTTAGAAAGGTGAGTGGTCAAAGAGGATTCAGCAAGAAATCCAGATATTCCCTTGTGTCCATTGGCAGATGCCAGATCAGCGGGGGTTCTACCCAAGGGAAATTCAGCAGATGGGTCTGTCAACGCTCCAGGAGATGCACCTAAAGAGACAAGACCAACAACAGTCTTCTCCCTGTAAGATAAAAGCCTATTAGCAAGCTGCTCATTCTGTTGGAAGCTTTTTACGGGAATTAAATGATGATTGCACTACTTAATAAGATTACTAATGTCACCCAAGATAAAATGAAAGTAAGAAGTTACTTAGAGCCTGTTTGGACATAAGAAATTTTTCACTTTTTTTCGAAATTTTTTCTTTTTTCTTTTAAATCAGCGTTTGGTCATAAATTTTTCAAATTTCACTTAGAAGATGCATTTTGGAATTCTTCGAAAATTTGAAAAACTTCAAAAAGCAATTTTTCAAAATTTTCACTCAGATCACTCACAAAACTTCAAATACAACCCAAAATTATATTCATGTCCAAACACAACTCTAATTTTCAAATACCATATTCACTTTGAAAAAAAATTCACTTTATTTTCGAATTTTACAATTCTTATGTCCAAACGCCCACTTAGTCTTTAGATTTAAATTTGCTTTCAGCTTTCCGACTTGTCAATAGCAGATATGGAATAGATCCTTTAGACTTGGGTATTTCTACAGCTATAGCAGAATTCATTAAAGAAAATCAGTTTTGATTGCCATGCCACCAATCATCACAATGAAATCCAGCTAATCTACATTCTTTTCTACATTGCTTGGACTACAAACAAAAGGAAATGGACTTTATTGATGTTTGCTTAATTGCTTTAGGATGGCACTAGTCTTTTTTCTTTTTTGTATTGAACTCTAAGGTAACTACCAAGACATATTCAAAAGTGTTAGGATCTCAACAAAACTTAGGCCAGTTCTATCGGCCAAAGATCTCTTTTTGTTAAATGTTAACTATCAAAATTTCAGTTATGAAACAAAAATCACAGGACAATCAACACAGAACAGTGAGAATTGGCCACTGACTTGCTAAGTGAAGCATAAATGAGGAACTGAAAAATCAATCTATGGAGTATTTACCTGCCATAGAATGCAGCCCAATGAAGTGCAGTCCATCCATTCATGTCACGAAAATCCACACTTACCCCTGATGCTAAAATTGGCTTTAAGGCCCAATCATAACCAAGTGCAGCTGCCAAATGAAGTACACCTTGACCTTCATCATCAATAGCAGTTCGCCCTCTGCCATCATCAGTAACTTGGCGAACCAGCCATGCATAGAAATTCTGCTTCAGCTTTCTTTCAAGAAATAGATCCTCTTTCACTCCGCATTGGGATGTATCATGGTCTGACGCTCTCTCAATCATCTGCTGATTCTCTTCCTCCATCATACAGATGATTCTATTCACTGTACTTTGTTTCTCCTTAGCAGCCTCCATACTATCAGAACTGTGACAACTACTAAGTGGTTCCAAGGACAATAAACTTTCAATTCGTTCAAGGAGATGCATCTCAGTTGCAGAAACATTGGCAGCACCAAATTCCTGATAAGCTCCAAGTCTGTATTCGAATTCTCTGACTTCACTACAAGCCAATCTATTTGAACATGTCACATAAAAAGGAAGTACTCCTGGTTTGTGGGGGGGAGCATGACAACGAAGTACCCCATCTGCTAAAACCTCTGCGGGGACCTCTATTTCCCCAAACATACATGACCACTTGCACTCTATCAGCTCGCCTTCACTCTTAAGAAATCTACCAGTAATCAATACCTGCTTTGTGTGTCGAAAAATCAGAATTTGAAAAGTCATCTAATATCTTTCAGTAAGTAAATTTCAATTCCTTAGCTAAAATAATGAGATTATGCACAATCTAGGCTATTGAATAATTGGTTGCATGATTGTGAAAGCTTGGGTGGCAATAAACAGTACGCAGGAAGGTCAAGAGAGGTAATTGCATTTGATAGAAAAAGTGGATACTAAGTCATGAAACTACTGCAAATCAATAGAGATTTCAGACAACAGGCGCAAGCAGTGCCAATCTAGC